AAATTTTATATAATAAAAACATAATATATATATATATATATATATTTATAATATATTGTATAATAAATATAATGGTATAATTACACAATATATTATAGCATATTATATACTACTGTAATTGTTCTACAATAATTACAAAAATAGAATATACTCGTGATTTCATCGAAAACCATTTTCTTAGCATTACAAAATTAAATACATGCAGATTCAATTCCAACCGAGGTGATTAAACCTACGTGACAATTACTCGAGGTACCTACTTGCAGTCCGCTGAACGCAGGTACGAAGTACACACCGTCGGAGTCATTTAACGCGCTCGCTAAAGGGGATGTTTCATTGGGATCGTTAATGATACCTGAAACAAACTGCACCTTTAAAATTTCAGCGATCTGTCGACACGTTTACGCGGCTTCGAGCTACAAGGTACCATCTTACAGTAATTCACACATGTATTTCTCGTTGTAACTCTACTAGGATATGTTCATAATATCATTAAATAAAAGTTACCAATTTTCTTTGCCCATTCAATCAGCACTCCGGTGTCGTTTGACGCACCTTCCACCAAATACACCAATTCGTCCTGAATACGCCACGCTATCAGAGGATATAAACCTGTTGAATTATACAAATGGTTCTTAAGTTCAGTTTTTCAAGATTTCATTATCAGATTGTTTAATAAGTATCTACGATCTTTTATTTTTAGAAGTTTTCCTTACTTTCATTATTAAAGAGTTAATAAGTATCTACGACTTTTAGTTTTAAAAGTCTTCGTTACCTATTGGTATTGGCAAACTCTAATAATTAATTTAATTGTTAGAACAATTAGATTATAATAATTAATCTAATTGGTAATCCAATTGAGTTATAATAATTAATTTCATTATATTAAAGAGCTAATAAGTATCTAATATTTTTGTTTTTCAAAGTTTTCTTTACCTATTGGTATTGGCAAACTTTAATAATTAATTTAATTGTTAGAACAATTAGATTATAATAATTAATCTAATTGGCAATCCAATTGAGTTATAATAATGTTGTTTCAAAACGTATTTAGTAAAATTTCATGTGAAGTTGGTTCCATTAAAAAACAAGAGCAGCCTATTATGTGCAATTTCGTACACAATCACCTGTGATTGAGGCATGAGCTTTCGTCCCAGTGTTCACATTTACAAATGTCCCGGTTCCCATCGTGATCTTCAGGTCCCCTGGCGCTATGCAACCTGAACCGAACAGCGAGGCGGATTGATCTGCCATCTACTTTAAATAACATTCCTTATCTTTATGGAATTTCTTCGATTAAATTCTCATTAACACTAGAACTACAATACTTAAAATACAAAATTTATATTTTACAACTGATAGAAATATGACGATACTTTTTGTGAGAAATCGTATTGTATACTCTTAGGGATGCAATAATAAGAGGAGCTTCAAATCTAGAAATTCTAAGAATTTAGAATTCTATATAGAATTAGGAAATTTTATATAAAAATTTAGAATTGCATATAGAATTTGGAAACTTTAAAGAAAAACTTAGAATTCTATATAATAGTAACAAATTTTAAATAAAAATTTAGAATTCTATATAATAGTTACAAATTTTAAATAAAAATTTAGAATTCTATATAGTAATTACAAATTTCAAACAAACATTTAGAATTCTATAGAGAAGTTAGAAGTTCTAAATAAGTCATTCCAATCGTTTGGTAGCTCTAGTATCAAAATCGGACGCTTAATGAAGCTTACCGAGCAAACTATCGGTATCGCGACACCGAACAACTCTACGGGAGTGGTGCCAAAGTCACCGACGGTATCCACCACTTCCGGAAAGATATTGTACGGAATTTTAAGCAGATTGATCATCAAACCTGACCAGCTCAACGTGAACGGGTCGAAGAGACCGGTCGCCGATGCACTCGAGATGTCCGTCACATGTTTACCTGCGGGACAACAAAATTTCGTGAAAGTATTCATAAGAACTTGTTGTTTGGATGAACCTCGCGTTCGACCTACGCTTTTTACCTGTCAGTTTATACAAAAGCCAGCAATCGACACCTCCGAAGGCCACGTTTCCGCTGCTCGTTGCCTCCTGTAAACCTGGCACGTGTTGCAACGTCCATAAGAGTCTCAAAGACATCTAGATTCCGGTGTGAAAGTAAACGACAAACGAAATAAACGACGGAGAAACGAAAATTCAATGGATTAAAAAAAATTCAATGCCACGAAATTGATCGAGAACAAAAATATGCATATAAATTAAAGGAACGTAACTAAAACTTAACTCTTTGCACTCGAGAGGTGACTCTGTCATCACTTGATTTGACACAGCAAAATGAAGTCGAATGTTCAGTATTTTAACACTAGGTTTACGGAACGCGTCAATTTGACGCGGATTGAATTTTATAAACATTATTTGGTAAATGCTTCAATTTGTTTTCATTGATCCAATTGCACGAATGTGAATCCTGATTGTCTATTTCTACATCTACAATTTCCAAAATCTAAATGAACGAATATCAACTTCCCAGGAACAATAGAATAGACTGTACAATAAATGTCCGTAAACCTAGTGTTAAATGAAACTTTGTATTGCTATATGGAATGTTCAAATAAAATAGCTTCGTTGCTTAACCCTTAGCAGTCTTGTGTCGAATCACACTCGACATTCTATTTTGTTGCAACCTCTACCTGTTTTAAAAATTTTTTCTATTTACTTGTAGTATCACAATTGTACCATTTAAAGGTAACATTTCAATGACTCCCAAATATTCTTGAATAAATAAATAGAGTCATATCAAGCTGTAATTGAATGAACTAACGTCGACGTGAACCTCAAAGTGAGAAACTAAGAGCACTTCGGACCGCAAAGGGTTAATTTATCCGTGAATTATTATTAACCCTCTATGGGCCGAATTTCGTTCCGTGATCATAACAAAATTTACGCAGTCTGAAATTAATAAATATCAAATTAAAAATGTATTCAATAGTTTCTGCGTGTATAAAAGTTCAAGTTGATCAATCACTTAATGTCATCCGTCATTTTGCAAAAAATTAAATAAATCAATTTAACCCAGTCTATTGACGTGTGACAAAGTTACACGGGCTTATAGAGGGTTAAATTAGTTTCAAACAATGTCATCTGTATCTCATCGGACAATGTCGAATATTCCTAGTGAAAAACTTTCGAGCGCAAAGTTCCCAACGGAACGATAAATTCAAATAGAAACTTAATGCGTAAAGTATTCTAATCTCGAGTTCACTGCGGAACGGAAGAGAATTTTAAGGCGAACCTGCGTGTTCATGAATCTGAAGACGCTGGCGGCTAGAAATCGTTTCCTCCTGGATAACGTGTAGAGGATCTGCGATCCTATGCGCAGTCCTTTCATCGTCATCGAGGAGTTCCATTCCTTCACCATGCCGTCAGCACGCAGATCTTTCCACGTGATGAAACTGAAACGTGAGATAGTTGGTCATCGTATCGAACGAGTACAGTGTGAATAATTAAGCATGAGTAGAGCTCCACGGTGCACCTACTTGTGATAATGTTTTCCGTCCTTCATGTTCCACGTAGTGAAGCTTCCTCGTTGCGAGGAGATCCCAAGGCAGGCGATCGATTCCGGTTTGATTCCGCTGGCTGCAAAGAACAGTAATTTCGAGTCTACGGTTCGTTAACACATTGCGTACTGATAACGAGAAATCTCGTTTTTATATAAAGACGCTTAGCTATGCAACTTCGCTGATCACCACAGCATTGAAAAAAAATTTAATTCGAATTGATCTATTTAGAATATATTACATAACAACATATCTGAGTTTTTCTGTGTACAGTGACATAAGTTGACTCCACTGAAAATTGCCACAATTCAGTTTTCTGAAAACTCTGCAAAGTCTGAGTGCAAAGGGTTAACATTAGAACTACCATGTATTTAATACGATTAATATATAATTCCCATAAAAATTGTAGCAACAGATTATTTTCAGTTTCTTCAGACATTCGTTACAGTAGGCAAGTGAAACTATTGATTTTCAAGATAATTTTGAATATTCAATGCCTTCCAGATATCAATAATTGCGGAGCAAACAAATCAAAACCAGTCATTATGACTGGCACGGTAGTTCTAGCGTTAAATGGCTTACGCCGTTGCCTTGTGTTTTCTCACACTGGTTCTCGACTAATCGAGGCAAAACGTTAATGAGTTGTTGGATACAAGAAATGTTTTTTATATTTCTTGTATTTTTTGCTACCTACCTTCTATGGTATCCTTGATCACTTTTACTATAGCCCTCCATAGCTCGTCAGGATCTATCTCTACGTATCCTGGCTTTGGGAATAGCAGCTGAACCTGAAATTCGAAGGATGATTGAGTGAGAAGTCGAAATTAAAGAAATAATAAGAATTAAAACATTGAAATGCATTAAAATAAATAATAAATTCGGAGGACGATTGAGTGAGAAGTCGAAATTAAAAGAAATAATACGAATGAAAACATTAAAATGCATTAAAATAAATAACAAGAATATCAGAATAAATTAACGTAAATTAATGCATTCCCTTCGTAGTAACTTGTTTCGTTGTGTGCGATGATATGTAATAATGTAAACTCTTGTGAATGATTCATTCAATAAATCAACAACGCAATTGTACTGGACCTGACGTCAATATCAAAGGTTTTTTCCGTTTCGATGGAAGCTAGCGATCAATCAATACTTCCTCGTCGGCTTGACCGGCACGGGCAGTTTTTAAATTTGATTACGTGTTCTATTTAATCGTCCGATGTTTCGAAGGCTCTTATTCCCTGCAATTATTTCCTCGACTTAATGACGGACGAAACTCAATGTCGAGCGTAAGTGGGTTAATAGGGAACGCGTAATTAAATCCTTCCCACTCCCCCGCACGGTTGACACGAATATGTACATCGCTTCGATCCATATTTCTCATTCTTACACAACCTTCTTAATTGATTCCCGCTTAATAGAATTTCGTAATCTCTTCTATTTATCTTTGCGTTAGTTTCTTGTAACGTTTCTTGTTGTAACCTTGTTGTCACACTTCCTCCTTCTTTTAACTAATTATTATTGGATTAGATTTAATGATTGCGCTCGTTCTGTCATTATTAATCTATATTATATACCGGTGCTTGTCGACAATTAGTGAACAGCTGACTATGCAAACGAACATTATGGGAAACTAGACCGTTTCGTTGCAGAAGAACGGAAAGCTAATTTAGCACGCGTATTGCTGCTGGAATTTTCAGCGTTTTATGTAACGCTGCTGATGTTTTCATGGCAAAAGTAAATTCTGTTGGAAGCAATTATTAACCCTTTGCACTCGAGGGGCGCCTTACTTAATTTTCACACCTTATAAAATTTTCAATTCAATATTAAACCTTGTGTAATGTATCAACACATAGAACATCGAACTAAAATAATTCTTCCTCTTAATTTATAGAAGATAATCGATTGTGTTAGTTGCGAAAAATATCGTTAATATTCAGTCAGAAAGTAACGAATATTTTTAATGAAAAATATTGTCGAGTGCAAAGGGTTAATACCTTGATCTACAATATCGTGTCCGACCGAAAATTCAAATTATTATTATTATTATTATTAATTGTCACTTAATTCTTTGTCCAAATGAAATATTTCTCTATTGCCAATGTTCGAGAATAAACGTAGACAAAATGAACGTGGAATTACCTCCGTATTTTAATGAATTATAAACAATGATCTAGTTTCGACGACAGTAATTATGGAAGAAATAGTGTAAACGGTTAATGATTTGATAGTTTTTATTGTCAAGTTATTTACGTTGCCTTTTATTATACTCGTTTCCAAGCAGTCCAGCAGCAGCGAATGCGTTCAGCGAATTTCTCCACTGATGATCGCATTGATGTTGCGGATGTACGTGTTTGGACTCGCGACGAGCAACGAGATACCACTACTTTAAAATCGTCGCTCGATTCTCAGCGATAAGTCGATCCGATTACACGCGAGTCGGGCGTTCAATTTCGCGGAAATTCGCCGATGGCATGCGATCGCGCGTTCCCACGAAAGCAAAATCTTCTGTCGAGCCTCGTTCTTCATCAACCGATGATTTCCTATATCAGGGGTCTAAGTTCAGAAATGGAAAGCAGGCCGCAGCATTCGTGTATTCGCGCTACTCAAAGCTGCGACAAACGCGTCGGAAGTTGCAAACGAGTTCTCCTCTCGTAAATTCATGTACATTTCCGTTCAACTTCAAAATCAGTCCGGGAGAGCTTTTACGAACAATAATGTAGGAGAAAGAGAATTTTATTAGAAACAGTATGATCATTTCTTGACAACTCAATAAAACACTAACTAAATGAAACGCACACACTATTTGTATACTCAGACGCTCTTGTCTCACTCACACACTTTCCAGAGCATTCTTTCATTAGCATGCATTAACTTCACATATATTTGGAATATTCTAGATTCATAAAAAACGAACATTATTAACATATAGAGGAAATCGATATAATCTAGAATATTCCAATGCTTTGAACATTCATTCGAAACGCGCTCACATACAGTCGCGTCATTCATCTATTACACACATTCATCACTCATCAATATATCTATTCACACACTCAAATACATCCATTCCCGCAATAATAGTAAGAGCGACACAGCGAACTGAATTATTAACTTTTAATTATAACTTTTCTTTCTCGCGCGAGAGAACTTCAACGTTTCGAGACTCGAGAAGCTGATAGTGTGCTGAAATCGCGCGGTATCTTGCGTTGTATAATCCCTTTATCGTTTCCATACATTTCAGACTTCTCAGTCGTTAATGTAACGTTAGGATGAATTATAGAATAATTTATGATCCCGCGTAGATTGACGGCCAGGACGAGACACGGAAATGTGGAAGAGAACAGGTTTCCGAGAGACGAGAAAATGCAGGATATACGGGTCAGATAACAGATAAATTACACATCTGGTGGAAGATTGCACAACTGCGGAAGAAATCTTAGTGCGGAGGGAACATTGCGGGAAATAAGAGAAGATGCAATCGAATGGTTAAGGAAAACAGTAAGAATGACAGAAAAGGAGAGAGAATGAGAGATAAAGGACCAAAGAAAATATGAAGAGGTCAATAAGATATACACTACGGTGTATATCTTAACCTTTTGCGGTCGAATGTCGTCGCAATGGCGACATCGAGCTTTATCATCTGAAATCGGCAGCGACAAATAATTTTATTATTTAAATTAACGAGAGGTTGATATGTGGTTTCCTTCTTTTCCAGTATTCAAGACTTCGATGCAGTTTTATGGGAAAAGTTTCTAGAAACTTAACACTAGAACTACCGTACCAGTCAGAATGACTGGTTTCGATTTCTTTGTTTAGCAATTATTGGTATCTTCGAAGCATTGAATATTCGAAATGATTTTAAAAATAGTTTCACTAGAGTACTATAATGAATGTCTGAAACTAAAAATAATTTACTGTTACAATTTTTATGGGAATTGCATATTAATCGTATTAAATTCTAGGTAGTTCTAGTGTTAAATGCTCATTCTCAAAGGGTTAGAAGCTGTTTCCCTTAGAAGTAGGTCAGTTAGGTTAACAAAATGAAATTTAGAAATGAAATGGAATAGGAATATACCTTCACGGCATAAACTTTGTAAAACCAAGTCACATTTCTCGACTGCGAGACGATAATTAAATAAATATGTATGTAATTGCATGTAACCAGATTAGATCAGACCAGACAAGAAAGAGGCGGTCGTAAAGTTCACGAGAACGATGAATATTACTGAATATTTATGAAAGCGTAATCGGTGATCGAACTGAGCCAACTACGGTCTCCATTAGCATACCAAATTCTCGGTTGTATCTCGGCGTAATGATTGCGCGCGATTTTTGCGGCTGGTTCATCGATCATAGCGTCTAGAATTCAACGGTTGCGTAAAGGGTGACAAATCGGATAGACACGCGAAAATAGAGTCGCCAGCTGTTGGGATCGTTGACACGTTCATGACTATACGTGCGTGGCGTGACGTAGTGGGAACTACGTTGCGACGAAGTTCGCATTCATTGACATTAAACTCTAATTTCGGACGAGGGTAAGGGGACACGATCGAGTTCGGATCCGCGTCGACCCGTTAACCGCACGAGACCGGAGTTCGGAGTCACCTTTCTCTTCGACTTCTCGTCTTACTTCTTCGGTTAACGATTCCGATACTCTTATCATTCACGTGATTTTTCATGCGTCGGTTGTCCACTGAAAGCATCGATCGTTCAACGAAAGACGAATTTTTAGTCCAGATCCATTCAAACGTGAGAGATCGACAGTTTCGCCGATCAGCTAAAAAATTCTGAATAACGAACCATAATTTAATTATAAATTGAATAATATGAATTATGAACTGTGACGATTGCAACTACGAAGCGGAATAATCGATTACATCGTACAATTAACACGTGGACTACCAGCAAATCAAATTCTTATATAAATTACAAGTTACTAACGTCTCGATTTATATTTTAGATTATTTTATATTATATCTTAGACTGCATAAATAAATCAATTTGGTATCTCTTCGACAACTATAACCGAAGAACTACTAAATGAAATCATTTTGAACTTAGTTTTGGTCATCACGTTGAACGCACGATTTCACAGAGCAAAATACCCAAATCGAAGAAACATAACATTAAATCATTCGATTGAATTATTATTATTATTATTATTGCATGTTCATCTAGCCGATTATAGCCGCATTGGGCAGCATTATTTATAACATATAAATCTTTTCAATCATATTTTAACTGGGTAAACTATAATAATCCGATTCGATTGGGGTTCACCGGTGACCCCATATCATTCATCGTGTTAACCCTCTATAGGCCCGTGTGACTTTGAAGCCACACATCAATATACTAAGACAAATTTATTACATTTAATTTTTCATTGCAAACTGATGAACATTAAATAATTAATCACCTTAAAATTTCGAACACAGTCGTCAACGTCACTGCAACTTCAAAGTTACAAAATATATTCGTTCGAAGAAATTATTGAAACTATCGAATACATTGTTAATTCGTATTCATATATGGATATCTATTAATTTTGTACTGCATAGATTTTGCTATAATCACGAACAAAAATTCGGCCCACAGGGAGTTAAAGTGACCCATATGAATCTTCCTCTACAATTATCGAATGTAGATAGTTTCCTGAGAAATGGTCGAATGCATCGATTAAATAACACGCCAAACAAAATACGAATAAGTTTCGATAAACAATAATAACAATCTCGACCGATTCTCGGGCCGCGCGTACGCGTGCCATTGAAAAACGCGATCCATTCATGAGTCGCGACGGTCGAACCTTTTCTACGGAACGGGCGACGGTGTTCGCTTGCTCGTCAAGGATGTGGAACCGCACTGTCGTGGTCCCGACGTCGAGTGCTCCAATGTATTTCATGTTCCCCGAACGATGCACGTGGTGTCCTCCGTCTCATTCGAACGCGCGCGATCGTCGGACGCAGGTGGGCCGCGGCGGTGCCGGGAATAAATATACTTTACGATTAGCGAAGACGTTCTTGGACGCCACCCACAGAAAACGCGCGGCGAACTACTACAAGCCGCTTATCGCGTACTGTATACTCCCGGAACGTAGAACAACGGGCGATGGTACCACGCATGCTCCCCGCTCCGGTTTATCGGGCGCGTGTTGCCCGTCGGGTACGGTGGATCCGATGAACCCGGCGTCCCGAGTCGACGGACGCCATTCCGATTCTTATCGGCGCAATAAAGTCTTTTTGCTGGGAATAAAATCTGTCAACACTCCGGTTACAGATAAAGCCCGGCGATCGAGCTTGGACGACTAAAAAATGTGGGAGTACTTTAAAACCTCTGAACGAAGAGACCGTATTATCCTCCGCGACAAAGCGATGGCGATACGGTCCTTGTTAATTCTCGCGACGTTATCGCGGTCGACGTTTACAGCGTTCAATAAGAATAACAAATTGCTTTGGTAAAACAGTAGCGAGATAGTGCTATATTATTTGGAAAATATTCATGAGTTCAGCGTTTACATAAAGTTACAGTATTGTGTACGACATGACTTTGAGTATTTGATGTACGCATATTTTTTGTGTGCGATTAAGTCATTAGCAAGTCGATTGGATCTATGTTAAAACGGTTAACGAATCTTATCGAAGTAGTTGGTTGCTTTTGAATGTTTTGAAATAGATTTATTATTGGGTTTAGTACCATGGAATAACGAGAATTCTTTTTGCCATGCAGAAATTGTAATTATAATTATAATTGTGATTAATTGCACTATTTTAATGCATTCGCATGTTCGATGGATTAATTACTACACCTGGTGATTAAGTGAAACACATTATATAATTTGAAGAATCAATGTATACTATTGCATCGTTTTTCTTTACTTGCGAAGCGACTAATGAGTTGGCTAATGAGCAGCTCATGTTTCTTTTCATCTTTACCTCCGGTGTGTTTATAATGACGCGACGCATTCCTCCATATTATACAAGAAAATCCGTGGACTCCGATTTCTCTAAATTGCTCCAGATGATTTTAGACACTCGTGAGTCATCAATCTGGTCTTCGGTCCACAGGGTTTCACGTCGTGAGCGATAGCAGCGGCGCTTTTAAAACCCCGTTAGATAACTATCTATGTGTCTCTGGACTATTTATATGTAGCCGTCTGGCTCATTATTATTATTCTATCTGAGAATATTTGAAAAGCGTTGAACCACCCTGGGGGCGTCTCGCGTATCTGCGGCATCGTATTTCATGGGGCGTCTGATAATCGTTTCACCGCGAACCGAGGAATCGGTTCAGTTGGCTGTCGGCTGGTGGCTCATTTCCACCATCAAAATGAGAATATTAACGGTGCTGTGGCTCCTCACCGTCCTCCGGCTGCATCGTTCCGGTAAAGTGTCGCCGAAGTGTCCGTGTGATCGCGTCTTTCGATCGTGAAACAGAATTCCTGATCGATTTTAATCGTTGCCTCGTAGAAATTCGAAACACTTGCCATCTATTAACCCTTTGCACTCGAAAGTTTCTCACTGGAAATATTCGATATTCTTCGACGAGATGCAGGCGACGTTGTTTGAAACTCATTTAACGATAATTCACAGATAAATTAAGCGACACAGCTATTTTAGTTAAATATTTCACAAAGTAACACAAAGTTTAATTTCGAATACTAAATATTCTATTCCATAGTTTTGCTGTATCAAGTGGTGATTAAGAATCATCTCTCGAGCGCAAAGGGTTCACGGTTTAACGCTAGATCTGTGGAACACGATTCGACGTTCATTAGATTTTATAAACATTATTTGGTAGACGTTCACTTTGATTTCGATTGCTGCAATTTCTCGAATATATTCTGTTTGCTCAACTTCCTACGGTGAAGCTATAAAGTTTGATATTTAATATTATACTTCATACAATGCATCAATCTGAGAAATATTGACGTAAAATAGCTTTGCCCGTCGATTCGCGTGAATTTCTCGTCGCGTTGGTTTTACAAAATGTCGACTTCATCTCATCAGAAAACGTTGAAGTATTTCTAGTGAAAAACTTCGGAGTGCAAAGGGTTAACACTAAAACTACCGAGCACTTCAATTGACTTTTGAAAATCTCGCTATAGAAACTCCAAGAGTGCATCTGTTCAGACTTTAATTGATTTACAATTCAATTTGCGCAGTGTTAAATGAATCTCTCTAACAATTTCTCAGAGAAACATTTACCTTTCTAATAATTGCAAAAAGAAGACATCAGGCATGGGTCATTTGACCCCTGGTAGTTTTAGTGTTAAAGCTTTACCACCGTCGAGGTCACATTCGTTAAAACTGAACGTCGTCCGAACAGATGCCTTCGCGGATTTCGATTCCACGGTGTGCAGGAACAGAGTCAATCCTCCGCCGTTAATGGCGCTGAAGAACCACCTGTTCTGCGACTATGATCCCCTCGTTCGACCGGTCGTCTCTCACAAGGAGGTGAACAACGTGACCATCAAGCTGATACCGAAAATCCTGGAATTCGTAAGTCTTTCTGTCCTCCAGACACGAATCCTGATTGACTTGTTACAATGTTGCGATTATTCTTCAGGACGAGATGGAAAGTAAGATGGTGCTGCACAGTTGGATGACCTTGGTAAGTAACGCGTTGCTCCTTACTCCGATTTCTTCAAGTATGGAACCACGAAACGGTTCAACGAGTATTCTTCTAGCTCTGGACCGACTCGCATCTCACCTGGAAGCCCAGCGAGCACGACGGCATCACCTACCTGCACGTGAAAAGCGACATGATATGGGTGCCCGACCTGTCCGTTTACAATTCGTAAGCATTCCAAGCTCGCGAAACGCAGAAGTAATTAACCCTTTGCACTCGAGAGGTGACTCTCACCACTTGATTTCCTACAGTGAAGCTATAAAGTTTGATATTTAACCCTTTCGCGATGGCGCACCTGTACCATTCTTCGCTACTTTTCGCAACAGTGCGACTGACCATACTTTGCCACTTTTCGCGACGACGCGACTGACCATACTTTGTCGTCCGCGAAAGCGCAAGTGAACCATACTTCGCCACCAATGTATTTATAGCTTTATTTTGAGTTCGCTATTGAAATAAAATAATAATATAAAAAAACCAATAAGTGACTGCCGTATATACACGGCGTCAGCCGCTGCGATGCACCAAGTGGCTGCCGTATATATACGGCACCCGTCGCGAAAGGGTTAATATTATACTTCATACAACGCATCAATCCGAGAAATATTGACGTAAAATAGCTTTGTCCGTCGGTTGGTTTTACGAAATATCGTCTTCATCTCATCAGAAAACGTTGAAGTATTTCTAGTGAAAAACTTCGGAGTGCAAAGGGTTGAAAGAACATGTTTGTCCTCAACGTACATTTTCCTTTTCTTTCCGAAACGATGAAAGGGGTGACATGGCAGCCGATCAGAACGGTATACCTCCGACGACTTGCTTGGTCTTCAGCTCGGGATCGGTCAGCTGTGTGCCGTCGTTGAAGCACATCGCGAAATGTGCCACGGACTTCGCCAAATGGCCCTACGACACGCACCAGTGTCGAATCAATTTCGGTTCTTGGTCGCACTCCGGGGAGGAGGTGGACTTTCATCTGGATCAGAAAGGGGTAATTTATGATTAACAACGCTACTAAGAATATTAACGCATTTATCGGTTATTAAACAGACGACTGAAGGTTAATTATCAATGTTTAAAGATTACTTAATGAAATCTTCAATACCAGTGGTAATTACAACGTTGAATCAGCAAATTGTGTTATGTAACACAATGTAAATATTATTGGAAGATTATTGCTTCAAGAAGATTAGTCAGCTTTTTGACATAATTATAAGTCATGGGAGATGCCTATTAACCCTTTGAACTCTGTAGGCTCCAATATTGCACCAGTTATAATATTAGATATTTCAATGAATCTTAAAGAAACTGCTCTAAAATCATTCGATCTTCCACACATCCAAATTCTGTACTGAGAAGGAAAAAAGATCGAAAGAATGTTGCATTTCTCATTTTCGCTAATACTATAAAAATTCGTTGCAGTTGCCGATAGATTACCAAACAACCTGGAGCGCTAAGGGTTAATAGCTCTCCGGTAGATAAAATGTTAATACTAATTGCATGGTTCTCCAGTTCCAAATGGCAGGGTACACGAACAGCAGTTCGTGGGATTTCAAAGTGGTGAACGCGTACAAAGTCCTGAAGAAGTACAAATGCTGCCCGAATGACACCTACCCTATGATCGTTTACGAGTTTTCTATAACTCGGCATCACGGGTTGATGCACACTACATACATCACTCCCGCCATCGGTACGAGAATCTGTTCTATCGTTCATTGGAGGACAACGTTTCATTCATAGAAATTGATTAATTCTTGTCTATTCCTTTGCCAGCTGTAATGTTGCTCACGTTGACGGTGCTGTGGCTGGACTCGAGGTCCATTGAGAGGATGGCTGTGGCCAGCGTTAATCTGGTGTGCCACTTGCTTTGTATATTCGATTTGCACTGGCAATTGCCGCAGAATGGCTCGAATCCGCCCAATATACGTGAGTACTTGAAGAGATTAGATCAACTGGGAGCACGCGCTGGATATTTGCTTCTTGCGTTGCAGTACTGTACTACCGAGACTCGCTGGCGTTGGCTGTCTTCGCTCTGATCTTGACCGCCGTACTGCGGAAAATGCAAACCATGAACATCGAGGTACCTTATTGGATCTCGTCGACCACGTCGTTCGTTCTGAACAACAGAGCCGGCCGGTTCCTCATCCTCGCCGACGACGACTCGAACAGGATACTGAGCAGCGAGTCCGAGGATAACGTGGACCTGCCGAAAGCCGCTGAAAAATCCAAAGAGTCATCGTGGAGACACTTCGCGGCCATCGTGGAGTGGCTCTCCTTCTTCGTCGTGGTTCTTACCTACATCGTCATCCTCGTCACCCTTGTGCCCTCCACTTAAAAGGGAATGGAAACGCTCGTTTCCCCTTGTCCTCGTTTAATCAGTCAGCTGTAGATTCTCATTTCTACCAATAAATCACCTCTCCTCGACTTTTTTTTACTGTATCTCTGACAGAATATTATTTTCAAAATAAACGACGTTGCGTTCCCATTTTTAATCGATACGACTTTCTCTTCCCTTCGCCTAATCGAACAAACGACAGGTTTTTAATGGTTAAATATGCCTTGAATCTTCACAGTAATCTTTTTCTTGCACGCATGTTCAGCCTTGATATTCTAATCCGCGCCTACGATAAATATGCAATAGAGTTTGAAATTGCCGTTAACAACTTCTGACGTTTTAATTGGTCCGCTTGTACCGACCGTGTCTAATTGGAGCACATTGTCTATTCTGCTGTGACTTAATTACAGTCAGCGACATCGGTTCTCAATTGTATCAATAAATCATATAAAAATAGATTGAGCTGTTTGAATTACCGTTTAATGGAGATCGATGCGCGTGCAGATCGAATAACGAAACGAGACTATCCCCGTTCGTTGCTGATGCGAAGCGTCGCAGCTGTGCGACTAAAATCCTAAAACTGATAAGATGATGCTCGAAAGGGGGCGGTTTTCGGTGTCCTCGGTTTAACATTTCACTGGGCGTGCAACTATTCTCCTCGATTCTTTTTAACTGCAGTCGTCGCGTGTCTGCCGGTCCGATTTCAGTTCGTCAGCCAAGAATGAGGAGCTTCCTCTTCGTCCGCCTGACGGTCCTTGCCGTTCTCTGTCAGAGGATCTACGCGATCGTGGACTGTGAAGTAAACACGGCTCCTATGTTTCAGTTAAAGCAGCATTTGCTTTGCGGCTACGACGCAGACGTCAGGCCGACCCAGGATCATAGGAATCCTACCAATGTCACCGTTTTTATAAGTATCGAGCACTACAGTGTGGTAAGCGCGTCGAGCAAGCCCTTCCTCGGTCCAAAGATTCTTATCGAGCTTCTGTTCCACAGTATGAAACGACGAACGCCGTGAACTTACACACCTTCACGAAACTGGTGAGTATTTTTACACTCGTTTAACACGTTAAGTGCCCGGCCCGACTTGCTTGTCGTTCCGTTCAGGCCGAGCCGAAATATCGGCTTGAGGACCGGAGTTTTCTCAATGTTATAATAACTCCCGAATATTAGGTTCAAAGGCGGCAAAGAATTTAACACGAAAAGTTAGCACCTTCTGCAATGAATGTAAAAGCAAACCACGCCTCTGTTTACCCTGTTTTAATAAACTACATTAACTTTTTTTAAATATTATATTCTTTTTTTTCAAGCCTTGAGTGAACAAAAACCGATGTCGCCTAAGCAATATATTTAGTCTCACATTAGTGCGTGAGGACCGACACGCGCGGTCGTGTAATATGAACCTAAAGTCCGCATGGACCTGGCGTTTAACGTGTTAAGCATTCAACTGGCCATAGATTAATTACTTGAAAGATTCACTCAGTTGAAGCATTAATGATCCTTGTGTGGCTCAGATGTGGAAAGATCCTTTCTTCACGTGGACACCGTCGAAATACGCCGGTATCGAAAAGATTCACGTGGTGAGCAACGAGATTTGGATGCCGGACGTTACACTGCACAGCGCGTGAGTCTGCCAAACGTCGATCCTGTTAACACATTGACCGCTATGGTGGTCACTGATGATCGGTGCTTCCGAATTGTTTAAATCAATTACAGTATGTACGACGATCGATGTCAAATGAGAATATTGAATAGATTACAATCTATTATATCTAATCTAATATGGATATCGAGTAATTAATAATTGTTCCTGTTTACCTTTGGTACAAGAGAATGAGTGGATAATATATAAAACGTTTAAGATTCCCGTGGCAGTCAACGTGTTAACGTTGCTTCAACATTCCCGTGATTACCATTGAAATCGAATGCAGGTCGGACGCGGGCGTTGACATCAATATGCCGAAGACAGACTGCGTGATTTTTACGGGCACAGTGATGTGTGTTCCGCAGGTGGTGTACACGATGAATTGCGAGAAAGACACCACATGGTGGCCGTACGATGTAATAACCTGCGCCCTGCAGGTTTCTTCCTGGGCTTACTCCGTCGAGGACGTTAACACGACTTTCACGAACATTGAGTACAGCAAGAAGGTACGCGATTTTCCGCTGCTCGCGTGTCTGTAAAAAGTAAAATACTCGTTTCAATAGGAAATTATAAGCGACAAGGAATGGGGCCTGATCAATATTACCATGAATGAACGCGTGGTGGACTCCAAGTTTGGTTCGGATTTCCGCAGTAAATTGATAACGTACAATATTCTTCTCCAAAGACAGTCATCCATCAACGGTGTGAATTACGTTACCATTGCCATAGGTTTGTAGCGATTCGAACCGCGTAGAATGGTGGTCATGTCTGCTAATTCTATCGTGTTTGTTCACGCGTAGTACTGTTCGCGGTGACTCTGATAATCCTCTGGCTAGAGCCGAATTCCGACGAGCGTATGCTACTCGCCAGTCTGAACTTCATTATGCATCTACTCGCCTTGACGCACATGGCTTGGACAGTCCCCTCTAATGGACACAGTGTTCCGAAACTAGGTGAGTTCTGCAATATGAAAAACATCGTCTAAATATATTCTTTAACCCTGTATGGGACGAATTTTTGTTCGTGATCATAGCAAAATCCATGCAGTACAAAATTAATAAATATCCACATATGAATACGAGTTAACAATGTATGGAATAGTTTCAATAATTTCATCAAACGAGTATATTTTGTAACTTTCAAGCTACAATGACGTTAAACTTTCACGCCTGAGCGTACAAAAGTTTAAGTTAACTGATTATTTAATTTTACTCACCACTTTGAGTGCAAAATGAAATAAATCAACAAGATTCCAATATACTGACATGTGACTTCAAAGTTACATGGGCCTACAGAGGGCTAAGCTTGCAGTGGATTAATTTTCTTATTTATTATTTGAAGACTGTCTGGTTAATTGATGAAATAAAAATTAATCAACATACTGGACGTTGAAGGAATTCTTGCTTTTTCAGTCCTTCTTTATGAAGACTCCTTTCTCTTGGCGATGTTTGCACTGATGTTAACGAGTGTCCTGCGCCACATGCATGGGCTGACTATCGACGCGCCTTCATGGGTATCTTCGGCTTCGACCTTCATTCTGAAGAGCAGAGTCGGTCAAGTATTCCTAGTGACCGTTTCGGATCCAAAAGTGGCTGCTCAGATGGAGGCGAGTACGGAGGACAACACGAATCTTGTGTCCTCTGAGAAGAAACAATCGACTTGGAGATGTACGTCGATTCTGATAAGATGGCTTTCGTTCGTTATTGTCTTATTTACTTGTACAATATTGTTAGCCGTTAGGCTTCCGACAAGCAAATCCGCGTATCCTATTGTATGAAATACATAATTACAAAGGGAAAGTTCCATCGGTTACTCTGGAAGAAAGATTGCGATTAAAAGTTATTTGTACAATAAAATATTACAGAAAATAAACGCTGGCGATTATTTGCTAAATATAAAATACGTTTCAGATACTTATCGTTGGAAGTAGCATTTTTCAGCTGGGAAATAATAAACCAATTAATAAACGTTGAACTACGCGCAATAAAGTTTGCTGTCTAGTAGTCTGTGTTTTTTTTTATAGATACGTTTATTTTGAAAAAACATGTTGAACTTAACTGTTTACATCGATCAGATCAATCTTTGCGAGTATTAACAGTGCGCCCAACTCAACTCTACAATATCTGTACGAAATACAGTGGGTGGTAAGAGTAGAAAAGAATGTTACCCACAACAGTGTGAGCCTAATAGATTCGTACGATTATAACTGCGAACGTGTAGCAGCAATAAATGCTAACGCACTGAGAGAATGTTCGTTCTCTTGTCCATCAAAAATTGACGGGTGCTCAGTCAACGATTTCTTACATTATGTACAGGTCGGAATTTTAGCATTCACACGTGTCTCGGACGATAATTTACAATTCTAACGAAAATAACATACGTCACC